TACCTATCTATATGGACGTATACAGTCTTGGAGAAGTATACGTTAATATAGATACAAAGAAATGGATATAACTCGTGAGTGTCTGTGAAGTTCTTCAGTTCCATTGGTGCAAATCTAGGCGAGTTAAGCTCTGGAATTTCAAAAAGTTATTAAATTAATCTATACAACTGAGACCATGCTGCGCAAGCATTTCAAAAACTTACAGACCAGTGGATTGGATAAATAGTCTCAGAAAACAGTCCGTTTGCACTTCCCGCCGAAGAAAACAAACAAAAAACCCCTCCCCCGATCCCCGAAAACCAAACAAGGGGAGGACTGGAGGCGTACAGTACATTCATGCAGGGGACTTGGTGGCCGCGCGGGGGCATGGCTGGTCCACGTGTGGGCGGGAGCCAGGAAGGGCCGGTTTCGACAAATCGCTCACGCCCCGCCCGTAGTCCCCGGTAGAGATCCCGCCCCTTGCCTCCGAGTGAAAAAGAAGAGTTCAAACAGCATCGCAGCCAGAGAAAGGGGCTGTTGGGTGGGAACGTGGGTTCTCTCTCCAGTGTTTGGTTTTCCGTTGTTGCTCGTTGCTGCTTGGTGTCTTGGGTGCCTGGGTGGGTGGGTGCCCAGAGGGCGGGTGGCGGTGGGGGTCTGTGAGGGTGGGCGGGCGCCGGGGGTCCTCAGCTAAAGCGACGTCTCCAGGCTGTGGATGGGGCTCCCTGGACTTGAAGAGGTAGCTGATTTGCTTGTGTCAGTCGTCAGGTTGATCCCGCTGTCGATGGCGCTGTTGTTCTTATTGAGCGATGACGGCGGGCTCGAGTTCTGCTTGAGCGCAGCATCTTCTTCCAGGTCGGTGTCGTCGATGAGGGGTATGTGGGGCTGGGAATCTTCGATCCGGAATTCAGGATGAGCCATGAAATTATGGATGGAGGTTCGAGACTCAGGCTTTTCTAAACCTTCATAGAGAGAGCTACGGAACGCCTTCACGACGCGGATCTGCAAGGCAAGCACAGGGGTCAGAAGTACTGCCCCAAGAGGGCCGGCAGCCACATGTTGTGGGGCTCAGAGAGGGGACGGGTGGGAGAAGAGTTAGGAAACAGCAGGCGGCTGGAATCCACAGTCGCTGGATGTTATGAGCATTGGCAGCAGGGGGAAGAAAGGGAGTGGGAGATGGGTGTCAGGTTATGTACATTCATAAGGTTTTTTTTTTTTAAATTGCTTTGGTTTGGTCAGAACTAGGGTATTAGAACAGTAGGAGCCATCAAGCACCATCAAAGAGAGATGCTGGGAAACAGTGGTTAAAGGAAGCATGGTCCACTCCAGTGGGCACCCATACCTAGTGAGAGACTGAGCCTTGTTAATTAATTCTAGAGCAGAAGTTCAACCATGCAGAAGGGGGGAAGGGCCAAGTGGGAATCAAGTAGAAAGGAGGAGGTTATTAAAATAAATTAGTTGTAGAAAAAAACCACACACAGTTAAGAAACCATACAACATGGAACAGACTGTGCGCCACACACAGAAAAGAACAGAGAAGAGAGACAGTCGGATGAGCTAGGATGAGAGAAGACACACAAGGGCCAAACAGGATGAAAACATTAAACCGAAGGCAGCAAAGCAAATCAAAGCCAACTCAGGACTTTCTGAGGTGCAGAGCAGAGGCAGCCAGAAAGCACAAGGGAGCCGGCAGACTGGGGACACTCGGGGTGGGGAGCATGCCACGGGTGGGGCAGGACTACACGGCACACACAGACGGGCACACGGCTATACTTGGAAGCCTGGACAATGTGAACGGAGGTCGTTTGTACCCAACGTTTCTTTCCTTCATGCATTGAGGAGGTAAACACTCGAGTATAGACTCAAAGCCCTGGCCAGTTATTGGCGCTTGCCTTGGGGTCCCTGATTACCTGGGGTATTTTGTTTATTTCCCTGTTTGTGCTTTGAAAACACAAAATGAAAAAATGGGGCCAGAATCAGATGGGCAAACCCAACCCCCCAGGTGGGGTTCTGGAGATGTGGAGGTGAGCCATAAAGTGGCAAGCACATTCATTTTCTGGGTTTCAGTCATGAACCCCGCATCCTGGGCCTCAGTTCTCTCTTCTAAAGAGTGAGGGGGTTGCTGAGTTTGGTGCCAGGACCATGGGCAGGCCACACTGCCTCTCTGGCCACCCCCTGCCCTATCTCACACGGTGCAGAGAGGGGTCCCTTTTGTGGATTTCTGGGAGGAGGAGCTGTGGCTGTCATCCCAAGGGGCTGATGGAACTGTGGACAAAGACAATGACTCCTCTCTTTCCAGCCCACTCAGAGTGGAGCCAGCGATGGGGAATCAAGGTGACGTCCAGCCCTGATGAGGAAGCACCTGCTGGCCCTATGCCCCAGGCTGCATGGCCACCTTCCCTGCAAAGCAGTGGCTCCCAAACCCCAGGGGCCTGAAATGGGGAGAGACTGATGAGACAATGTGGGGAGGCCCTGGCAGTTACAGGATTTGTGTTGTTCTCAGCTCAACCTAGGAGTGCTCATCTGTGGGGCACTGGTGGGGAAAGTCTTGGCCCAGGGAAGTGAATTTTCTAGATGACTGTGGCTGATGACTTTAAATGTCAGAGCTCAGGGCTTTATGGATTCAGAGTTTTTTTAAAGCCCATCATAGGCTCCTCTGCCTTCAACTTTAGAGCACACAGAGCTGACTTGAACTTCAAGTTTGCTAATACTCCCTCATGGTCTTTTGTAGGACCCACAGTTTTGCAATTGTCTTTTAGTTTTTTCTCCTTTGCTGTCAGCCATCACTTACTAGTGCTGACTTCTTGTCTTCTAAAAAAGCATCTCTTTCCTTTTCTTTACTTGTGGGTTGTGGGCTGAGGAAGCCAGGGAGCCCCGTTTGGTGGACTTGTGCTTTGAGAGTCAACAGGTGCCAAGCACAAGCCTGCTGGCCACCACATATCAGTGTGGGCTTGGTGAAGGCCCTTCTGCTGTTCTGAGGTTCCCTTCCCCCTGGCTTCCCCATTTGCCAGTCTGTAGAGATGATCAATATTCTGATCTCCTGATAAGTGGGATGTTAATGAAAGAAAAAAAAAAAAAAAGTGTCGCACACCTCATTTTTCTTATCTGTAAAATGGGAATAAGAATTATCGCTCTAGATGCCCAGCCTAGTGTTCAGGTGTTCTGGGGCTGAGTTTCAAGGAGATGCCAGCTGGAACACCTGGTGGTGGTGGGAGGGAATAGTGGCAGGACCCTGTCATGTGACTGACAATGCAAAGGGGACAACACACAATGAGATGCAGCCCTTCCGCCCTTCCCGTGGCATGGAGACAACAGAAAGAATGGACTGCTCTGGACAAGACTATGGGGACAAGACTTTTCGGGACACCTCGCCATGGCCATCTCAAGTCTCCACTTCGGTTCTCTCCGCGGCTGAAATGGAAAAAAGTATGGGACGAAAAAAGTTCTTCCATCTCCCCTCCCTGCCTACCCTAAAGCTGGGATTTGGGGGCATAAGTCACATATGGTTAGGGGTGAGGGGAGAGAGACGAAGATACCCAGTTTGTGGGTTTTCAGATGTTTTGGTTTCATCGGCACACAGGGAGCAGGGGACCCATGCCCATTGTTGGAGGGTTCTAAGGAAACGGCGGCCCCAGTCTGGATGGGTTCAACATACTCGAATGTTTACCCGGCTTCAAGGAAGCCAAGAGTCTGGGATTGATTCACATTCATTTCAGGCTCAAGGTTAAAGACTCACAACCTCTTTTAATTTCACTCTCTCTTGCTGAACTCTGTGTCCAGGGTTCTCTAGCCCTCTAGGGAAACAAACACATGGAATATTCAGACAGCGGAGAGTTCTAGGATCCCTCCCCGCCCCAGAAATAAGCCGTTTTCTCACCAACCCAAGACTGCACTAAATTAGTTAGTAAAATGCTAAAGAGAGGTCCAGCTTTCTTTCCTTCTTCATTTCTTCCCCTAAGAGATGCCAATCTCCTGCCCTCACTGTGTTCCAAACCAGGGATCTGAAGGGAAGTGGTGGCAGGAGATGCCCTAGTCAGCAAGTTACAGCATTCCAGAAAAGTGGCCAGACCCTAGCTAGGATGCTCTTGGGTTAGTTGGTTCAATGGAGGACTTTCACTGATGAGCACTTGGTGTGCTACCGAAAACAGAAACCAAACCCACCACTATCGAGTTGATTCCAATACATAGTGACCCTGTAGGACAGAGTAGAACAAGCCCCACCGAGTTTCCAAGGCTGTAAATCTTTATGGAGGTAGACTCCCTTATGTTTCTCCCATTGAGCAGCTGAGTGGGTTCAAACCACTGACCTTTTGGTTAGCAGCTGAATGCTTTAACCACTGCACCAAATACAAAGCTTGTTTGAGATGGGAAGGGAATGAGAAAGAGGCTGTGTGGCATGGCCTAGCATCAAAAACCTGAATATCAGTATCTTTCTTGGTCCTTTGAGGGAAGGTCTCCTTCTCCCCAGTCCCTGCCAGGTAGAGAACACCTTCCCTGGCTTTCTACACCAGGGAGGACTCATTTTTGAGTATGAGATGTGGGCATGGACACTGGTTCCTGAATGGAAATCCAACCTCTGTGGGCACAGGGTCTGTGGGCTCGTCTGGGAAGGAGTGTGAATGGTGGGAACTTAGGAATTAGACCTCTAGCAGGTCATTTGCTGGGTGATTTTGGCTAAGTAATCTTCCTTCTCTGAGCCTCCATGTCTTTCTATATTAAATAGATATATCTATAGATCCTGCTCTCTTCATATTTTGGTTGTGAGACATATATGAATGAAGGGATGTGGGTGACTGCTTTGGAAAATTTTGAATGAGACTCAAGCATCAGGCATTAGGAGAGTGCCGTTTAGTTTCTAGGGGAAAACACAAACTTGTTTTTGAGTAAGTCAGAAGAGAAAAGCAGAGAGTGGACTAGAGTTCCCTCTCAAACATTCTGCGAGCCAGCCTGAGGGGACTGTCCTGCTTATGACATGGTGTCTGTCTGCTCAGGACCTTCTCCTTCTCATGGTGGGGCTGGGCAAGGGCTGAATGAAGTAGTTGGGGCATTTCCTCACCCCACCTAACATGAGGCAGAGTCAGCTTTAAGCACACACTTTGTGGTCAACTCTGGATGTCGCGGTGCTAATGGAGTGGGGCAGTGGTTGACTATGTTCCAGGGTGGACAAACACTATGGATTTTCAGTCTGACTCTGACATGCACATGGCCTCCCTCCTCTGTTGGAGCGTCCTCAGGAATGAGATCCTGCTCAGAGGAGGCCGGCAGGCAACCCACCTCTCCATCTCACCTCTCCTGGGGCCCCTTCTCTCGACAGGTCACTTGCTTCCCACCTTTCCTGTGCTTTTTGGCTTCTGAAGGGATCCTATCTTATTTATCTTAGCTAGAGGGCCCTCAGACTACTTGGGGACTAGAGGAGGTGACATTGTCAGAGGAACTATTCAAGCAAAGGAGGAACTGGAAGAATATTTATTTAGAGTTTGCATTTTGATCAACATGAACATGTTGATCAAAATATATATGTTCACACCACAGGGGTTGTGATCCTCTTTGGGAACCAGTGCCTTTTGGTGAGAGGATGGTTAGGCTTTCTCTGAGATGACCATATTCCCAAGGAGGGGTCCTCGAAGGGACCCAGAAGTACAGGCTGGCTTCTGTAATGGAGGAATGGAGAATCCTTAGGGGGGCATAATATGTAGGAGGAAAGGCAAGATGGTGGCTTAATGAGGGGTCATCTGAGAGAATAAAGGGTTATGGACAAGGATGACTAATACAACTTTCATAAAGCCTTTGCCTAGGTTCCATTTCAAAGTCTGCTCCAAAGTTGAGGTAACTATGGGATAAAAGGGATTCATCTGACCTGGAGGGCAGTGGCCTGGAGACAGTAATTGAAGGGCAGGCATAAAGGATCATTTCTCTGGAGGGAGAAGTGTTGAGAAGTGACTGTCCCAGCACTAGTCTGATTGAATGCTTTCATAAATGACCCCTCAAAAAGGTGAGAATGAAATTGCCAAGGTTGAAGATGACCACACTCTTTGTTCTAGATTGCAAAAGCTAAGATGGAAGGGCTGAACCAAGGAAAACCTTTCAAAGGCTGTGTGGGTGCCCAGGAACATCAGCTGAGGTTTGTCATGGCAAGTGCAAAGCTCTGCCCTTCAAGGAGGTGGCTGGACTGGGCTAGGCTAAGAACTGAGCTCTACCCAGCAGCCAGACTCCTCATGGTCAGACCCTGCCAGAGGGATGTAGGACTCCTGGGCAGTGTGGCAGACACCCACAGAAATGTGCTATCCCCTAGGTGATCTCATGCCCAGACACTGTGGTCATCGCACTTGAAGACAAGTGGCAGGGCTGAGCCAGGCCAGGGCTGAGCTGGTTCAGGGTCAACTGCGTGAGGGCTGCCCTCAAAGTCAGGGGTCTCTAGTCTGAAAGGGGAGTCTGACAGTAATCTCGCCATGACAGTACTTCATAGAAACATGACTCAGACTCCATCTACTCAAATGCGCCTCCATTTCCCCTTGGCTAGTCCAGCCTCCCCATCATTGTGCTTGGTTGCGCTGATGAAGAACACTGAGGGGCTCCCTTTCCTTCTCAGCATTCCTTGAATACCTGGCAGGACTACATCCACAGAGAGATCTGGGACATGAGCATATACTACCAATGGGCTTTTAGTAGCTTGTGCCTCCTGCTAGAGGGGCTAAGATGGGAGCATTATCACCTGAACATGAGTGTTTTCCTGCTGGGTGCAGGGTGTGTGTGTTGTGTGTGTTCTGCACATAACAACGTATCAAGATATGAGAACTAGAGCCTATTTCTCATCATAGAAGCCCTGAAGGCTGGCTATCTGCAAGAACATTGTGCAAATCTGAGAAGACCATAACTAGGAGGCTCCCTTGCAGTTTGGTAGAGCCTAATTGGAATTAGGAGTCCCTAGTAGTACAAATGTTTAATGTGCTTGGCTGCTAACCAAAAGTTTTGAGGTTTGAGTCCACCTGGAAGCATCTCAGAAGAAAGACCTGGCAATCTACTTTCAAAAAATCACCCACTGAAAACCCTATGGAACACAGTTCTACTCTGACACACATGGGGTTGCCATGAGTTAGAATTGACCCAGTGGCAACTGGTTTAATTGGAAACAAGGTGAGGGAGGCAAGTGGTAAATGGAAACTTCTTCCTTCTGGGGCCTGAAGCCATGGAGAGGTTCAGGAAAGATCTAGAGAAAGCCAGAGATGAGAGACCCAGGACAGAATGGTGGTGTATGGAGATGAGCTCAGTAGGAGAGAGATGAAGAGGGTGTCAGTGCCAAGCTATCCTTCAAATAAGGAAGGGCAGGAAGGCTGAGGGTAAGACCAGATCCCTCAGTGCTCCAGCACCCAGCCAAGATGTGGGACATGGCCCACTATTGTCTACCTGAAGCCCAACTGAATTTGTCAGAAGACTTATCCTTTGTAGGAGGAGGGTCAGAGCTTTAGCATGCTCCAGTCCCCGGGGCAGGGAAGGTATTCATAAAGCAGCTGATGCTGTCAGACGTGCAAGGGGAGGAACAGTGGGAAAGAGCAGAGGGTGCTGAACTGCTGGGGTGGGTCCTGCAGACTGTGTGATCTCTGACTGACTGTGAACTCTGACTTGCAGTGGTCTCTTTGCTCAACTGTCCCCCTTTGCTTATGAGTCTCATTGCTGACAGGTGCTCCATGGCCATGGTAATCCCTGAGTGACATGACCCCTCTCTTGGTTGGACTTCTAATGTGACTGACCATGATCCTCTGAGGGACTGTTGCCCCTTTGACCCACTGTAACCTTTGCCTGACTTTGACTGCAAAACTTTGACCTATTGGCCAATTCCAACCTTCACTGGCTATATGTCCCCTGACCATGTATGAACCTAGGCCAACTGGGACTGTGCCCACCTGATGCCCCATTGACTGCACAACCCTGAGATGGAGTGGGACCATTTGGTCACTACAACCTCCTTGACTGAAGGTGATCTTTTTACTGACTCAGATGTTTGACCCATTGTGACCCTTCTGACCCCAAGACTGACTGGTTGTAACCCCTGACTTGGACCCCTGCATTGGCCTTGACCCCAGACTGACCCTGCTTCCTGATGGACTATGATCTCCTGACCAACTGTGATCCTCCTTATTGGCTGTGATCCCTCAGCCCCTGAGCCTACCAATGACCGGCTGCCCCCCATGTCCTTTGGTGCCCCTGCCCCTGCCCGTCTGCCCGCCCAGAAGCTGGCATCTATGGCACCGGCGGCAGGAAGGAGTCACACTCACGCCCAGCTGCAGCAGGAGGAAGGCTGGTCGGAGAGGAAAGAGCATTGGACAACGACACGCGACTAGGGCTAGAGAGATTGGCTACGTCCTGGCTCTGGCTGGTGACGGAGGACTGTCTCCGGAGGGCCCCCTGAAAGGAGGCCCCGCTCTTGAAAGTATTGACTACTTCAATCTGCAATGGAGGAGAGAACGAAACAAGTTGCGAAAAGAACGAACACAACAGCTACACAACTGACAGGCACAACATCACGAGAACAGCCGCAGCCACGGCGACAACAACGTCACTTAAATTAAAACAAAAAGTACCAGACACATTCCAAGGCTCTGAAAGATATCTGCTCAGCTCCAGGCCCCTCTGTAGGCCCTAGGGTCCCAGGGAGGGTGCGGGGGTCTGGACTTTTCTCTGCACTAGTGGTCAGGGACCAGTGGGCTGGCCCTGGGGGTGGGGGTGATTAAACATGGTGTCTGGAGGCCAGAGAGTGGTGCTCAGCCTCCCTTGGGGTGGAGTGGAGCAGAGCAGTGTGGAGCAGAGCAGTGTGGAACAGGGGGGGCTCTGGGGTGGACAGACCTTGGCCCAGATCACCTACTAGGTTAGTAACCTTGGACAAGTCACCTCTCTGAGTTCAGGTTCTGATCCTTCAAAAGGAGTAGGGTCATCTGTAAGGGGCAAAGTGTCTGGCACATGTTAGTTCTCAGAAAGACCCAGGTTAGATAGGAACCATGTCTGCTCAGGAAAATAGTCCAGTCCTCCTGAAATCTGGAGACCCTGATGGCATGGCTGCTGGAGTGGAGGCAGCATAGCCAGTGTGCTCTGAGAGCTGCCCTGGCAAACCCACAGAGAAGTCACTGGGGAGGCATGCTGCTGGGGTCTGGTCAGGGAAGGGGAGAGCCAGCCCAGGTTGGGGCAGCTCTGTGTCTAAACCCTGCCCCCTGTCCTGCCAGCTGAGCCAGCTTGGCAGAAAGACTCATCTCCTCAACTCAGGTACTTCTAAGCCTGAGGGAGTCATACCTACCTCTTGGGGGGTGCTATGAAGATAAATGAGATATGTTTGGGACTTGCACTGTGCAGTGTGAAGCAGCACAGGTGGTAACACTGTTCTGCTGTGTGGACATTCAAGCCTGGAGATAGGCCAGGCGGGCAGAGCCCAGGCTGGCACTCTGGCCAGTTCCTGTCACAGAGCCAGCAGCTAGGGCAGCCCAGGTGCCCTCTGCCCCTCCCTCTGGGTGGGGGGAAGAGGGAGGCCCAGGCCTTGCCTTCTGGTAGACAGACCCTGTGCAGGGCTGTGAGGAAGCCCCCCTCTACCAGAGGGGCTAGGGTGGCCATAAAGACCAGGAATGTAAAGGAGCTAGGGCCCAATAGGCAGAAGACATGGTACTGCTTGGCTTACCCACTGCTTACCCACTGCTCCAAAGACAAGGGCCAGAGGCTTTCCCCTGGGAGGAGACATAAAACCAGGCTGCAGTGGGAGCCCTCAAATGGGACCTGCTCTGTTATTTTCCCTGCCTCATCCCACCCCAATTGGGTGTTCCAGAGTGTGATAGGGGTAGAGCTAGGTATGAAATTCCCAGATTGAGCTCTCCCAGGTGGTCTCAGATAAAAGACCAGCCCTCTCTGAGTTTCCTAGTGCCTTCTGTCTCTTATTTCACAGCTGTGGAAGCATGCTGTAAACTGGGCAGGAGAGGCACGTGTGAGAGCATGTGGCCTGTGTGTGTGTGTCCCAGAGTATGTTGCCTGCACGTGTGTGCATATCTCAAAGTGTGTTGCTTGCATATGTGTACGTGTCCCGTAGTGTGTGGCCTGTATGTGTGTCCCAAAGCATGTTTCCTCTGCCTGTGTGAAAGCACCAGTGCCTGACCAGGCTGCCTCTGGGCCCTGGGAGAATCTGGGGCAGACTCTGGCCTGAGGCTATGTTTTGGCCTCAAGTCATGTTGGCCCTCTGCCTGCAGCCTTGCACTGTCCTGATTCACATCTCCCCAGCAGCTCCCACCAGAGCCCCTGTCTCTGCTGTCAGAGTCCTTGCCCCCCCACTTTCTAAGAGGAATCCCCCCTCAGCCCTTGATGGGGCTCCCATTCTGACCTCTCAGCAGGCTGAGAAGAACTGTCTGAGAAGTGTGAGGAGTGTGGGTGAATAAAATGGTTGTCGAGATGGTGAGGGCCTCTCCGAGCCTGGATGGTGGCCTGTGGCAAATTCCTCCCCAGGGCTGCCTGGCCTAGGAAATCAGGCTCTCTGTGGCCTGGTGCTTTGTGTGCTTGGCAGCCACCCTTCCTCAGCACCAGCACTGGGCCCTGAAGGTGGAGCACCGAGGCTTGCTTATGATGCCTCCCCTCCCCTGACCCACAGGGGTGGCCTGGCCCTGACAGGCTCCCTACCTGAGTTTGGATCCGGTTCAGGCCTCGGAACCACAGGATCTGGCCCCGCCGCAGCTCTCTCTCGGCATGGTCTATCTCCTCCACGTCCTCGTTCAACTCTTCTTCAGGAATCTCCTCCTTCTGTGTGAGCCTTCCTGCTTCCTTGAGGAACTTGAGCCTGCTGGTTGGGATGGTGGCGATGACCTGGAAGGGACCCAGGGTGTCAGGCTGGGGTAGATATCCCTCCAGCCAGCCTTCTCCACTCCCTGCAGTCTCGCTTCAGTTCAGCCCCACCCTTCCTTCTTCTTTGTCTGGTCTCTCTTACTACTTACCTACTCATTGAATTCACTCCTTAAATCACCACACCCATTCCTCAACTCAACCCTTTTCTTAAAAATCTCTTATTAATTTGCTTTTTAATTCACTAATTCAAAAACTTTCATATTTACTCACACATTCACAAACTTATTCACTCACTCCTTCAGGGTCAGGGGGACATAGTGGGAAATCTTGCACGTTAGGAGTTAGACAGATGTGCCATTGAACACCCTAGACCTTACTAGTCATGTGACCTTGGGCAAGTCATCTAACCTCTGAGCTTGGGGTGATTCACAGAGCTGTGAGGATGGAGTGAGACCAGGTGTCTGAATGGAGGCCCTCAGGTCTCCTGGGTTCATTCCTGGGCATCACAGGGCTTCTCTCCTGAGGCCACTGGTCCTTGGGGGCAACCCTGTGTTTGCTCTGGGGAAATATGCCTTCATTCTTACTGTCCCCCCAGAGGGCTTGCCCACAGAGATGAGGCCTTCCTGTAGGGAAACTGAGGTGGCAGATGTCAGAGTCTCCATCTCCTTTAAGGACAGGAAGGGTCTCCTGAATTGGGGTTTCTATGACAAAGGTCTGCATTGTCCTTGGTCATTCTGAGCCCAGCTACCCTAGACAATGAGTGCCCCATGAAGGTACAGGCTGTTTGCTTCCCCTCTGGGTCCCAGTGAGGTTAAGATGGGCTGGCCCCCAGGGTGCCCGAACATGGGGGTTGTATGTCCAATCCAGTTTATCTGTTCTCCAGAGAAGCTCCAAAGTTTAGAGAAGGTCATTTTGAAAGAAATGAACATTTCTTTCTGGTTATTTTTGCCACTATAGCTTTTCATTCTCGCCTGGGAACAGGCTGAAGGCCTGATCATTGTCTCAGGCATGCTGGGATCCCCAGTGCCTGGCTGGTGGAATATCTTGGGAAAGAAGCCTCTTTGGCCCAGGGTCAGGCTCTGGGCACATCCCATGAGCACCACTTCTTGGGGCTGGCGCCTGTCACTGCAAACTGTCAGAGGTGGGATTTGGGGTGGGGGTGTTTGGAACTTGTGCAAAAGTGATGAATGTTTTGGGATCAAAGCTGGAAGGTCTGCTAGAGAACACTTAGTCCAGTACTCCTCAAAACTTGGGGGGGGGGGTATTAAATGGCTACCAAAAAACCCCAAACCTGTTGCTAGTGAATTGCTTGTGACTTATGGTGACCCTGTGTGTGCAGAGTAGAACTGCGTCATAGGATTTTCAATGCTTGTGGTATTTTGGAAGTAGATCACAGGCCTTTCTTCCAGGCCACCTCTGCGTACATTCAACTGTCAATCTTCTGGTTAGTAGCTGAGCACCTAACTATTTGTGCCACCCTAGGACTTCTAGATGATTACAGAGACATCCTTAAGTAGTACTGAAAAGCAGCAAAAAATCAGTCCCTCTGCATCTCCTTTGAGCCGTCTGACAGGGCGAAGAGGAGAATGTTGGCTCAGTGTGAGCTAGTCTTTCACACCACTGACTAATCCCAAATTGTAACAAAAAGCAGGCTTCAGGCTTGGAGCCTTGGGAGGCGATAGCATCCAGCTAAAATTGAACAACAACGTTCTTATTGTATTTTTCTTTTTGTTAGCTTCTATTTATAAGTGATACAACTTTCCAATTGTGTCAATAATATTAAGTTGCCTTTTAAAATAAATTTAAGTTAAAAAAACTGATGTGATTAAAAGAAAATAGTAAAGAACAGCACCAGTGGTACATAGATATAAGGCAAAAATCATAATGGTGGCACTCAAATGACCCATTCTGGGACCTGGTCCAAACTTCATGCTCAGATACCCAAAGATGAGAAGGGCCTTGCTTAAGGAAGAGCTGGGACCCATTCCTGGGGTTCTTGGGTTCCCTGACCAGAGTGCTCTCCCTTCTCCTGCTAAGATGCACCTCCTGCAACCCACCTACAACTTACTTGGCCCCAGACGAGCTCTCCTAGCCCGATGAAGATGCACCACATCCACTGGTCCAGCTGCAGTGGCGAGCAGCTAAATGGCTTCCCCCCAAACTGCACGATCACTATCTGGAGGTCAAAGGGGAGCAGAGAGGGACAGAGAGACAGGTAGTCAGGGGCCCATGCAGGGGTCTGGATTCTCAGGGCACTGTCCACCCCAGCCCAGGTGAGGACAGGAGGCCTGGCTACCTGGATGGCAAAGGTGCCCAGTACAATGGTGCAGAAGATGGGGTTCCGGAAAATGCCATCAAAGACATTGCGCTCGCCATGGATCTTGCGGGCGTTGATCTCGTTGAAGAGCTGCATCATGACGAAGGTGTTGAAGATGATGGTGTAGTGCTCTGAGGGCGGGGAGTGCAGGGGCGCATTCCTCCCACTGTCAATCTGGAACATCTTCTCGCCTGCCAAGTCAGAGGGTGGGGCTGTGCTGGGAGTGGCCTGGGGGCCTCCTCGGGTGACTCACTAAGATGCTGGGTGTGCTTTGGACATGAGGTGGGGTGGACCTGTGCTGTTGGTTAGGATGCCTGGTGAAGGGGTTTCTGAGAGAAAGATTTTAGGGTAACTTTCTCCCAATTGTGCTGTGGAAATCTGATGAAGGTGGAATACCAGGTGTGCTACCAGGTAACAGTGACTGGTAAACTCATCGGGTCGAGGAGGACTGGGAGTCAACTAGGAATATCTGGTGGGAAGCCTGGCTTTGGGCTTTTCTGCGAGTGCTGGTTCTTGGAACCGAGTGTGTCCTTTGCTGAGACTTCTGGAAGCTCATGGGCTGTTACAGGAGCTATTGGTTCCTACATGGAGCTTGAGGCTTCTAGGCCAGGCTGGCTCAGGCCCCTCATGTGGCCTGATCCTCCACCCTTGAGCTGCCCCCGGAGGTGGGAGTGGGTTGGGGGCCAAGTGGCCTCTGGATTGCTGTGTGGACTCCTGCGTGACATGTCCTGTGACCCCTTGTGCAAAGTAGTGACCTGGTTTTGGGAGGACTTGTGAGGTTTTCTGGGCATGAAACGTCTAGCTGAATCTAAGACTACCAAGAGTAGGCTGAAATGGGGACTTCAACACCTAACATGCCCTCTCCTCCACTTACTTTGCAGCAGCCTCTGCACTGTGCATCTAGTTTTACATTCACATGGCTTCCTCTCAGGCTTTTCATGGTAATCTTTACAATGGCCCTGCCAACATAGCACCTCCAGAATTAATGAAAAAGGAATGTGACCCATGCCCCACCATCAGCTGCTCTGACAGAAGAGCTCTGGGCTCTGAGGACATATGCTTGTGGTGTTGAAAGCCCAGCTCAAGGAGGTGCAGGTGGAAGGAGCCTGTCCTGGGAGGGAGACCTGAGAACTCAGCTGGGGACTTTGTGCTGGCCCTGACCTGCTATGTGACTGGGCTGGCCCCTTTCCCTCTCTGGGCTTCTGTTTCTTCATCTGGGACCAGCGAAAGGCTTTGCCTAGATCATCTCTGAACCTCTGTCTGAGTGAGGTAGCACCATGCAACCGGCCTTCTTTTAAGATGGGCTGGGAGCGTTTGGGTAGCACCCCTCACTTCTCTGTGCTTCATTACCCTCATTTCTAATGTGGGGTGGCGGCAAAGATGCCTGCCTCATGGAGCAGTTATAAAATTGACACAAGGTGGCCTAAATGAGTACATTGTGGCAATAGCTGACATTATGTAATCAAGCGGTACTTCTCCAAGGAAGTCTTGGTGATAAGGTGCTGGAATGGGTCAGAGGAGGGTGGGCTGCTTCTGTCTCAGAGTCTCAGGAGCCTTACAGGGATTGTAATACCTGCCGCTTACTTGAGGGGCACTCAGACGCACCTGTGCTCTGCCTTGCAGACCATGTACTCAGTGCCGAGGACCCTTACAATTAGTGGAAAAGCACTGGCTTTGCAGTCTGCTAGACCTGGGGTGGGAGGGCCCTGGGTCTGCCCCTGACTCGCTGAGTTACCTTGAGCAAGTTACTGGGTTTCAACTTCCCCCTGGACCAAATAGGAATGTAGCTGTGAACCCACAACACTAGGTCAGGGGCATGGTGGGTCCAGAAGGTAGTGATCTCCCCATAGAAGGGTGTGGGTAGGGTGAGGAACTCACCCACAAAAAGCAGGGTGAAGATGAGGGTGAGCTGGTAGACAGCGTGGCCCAGGATGTTCTTCATCATGGTGCGGGAGATGAGGGGCTTGTTGCGGCCGTATGGCTTCCGCAGGAGCAGAGTCTCAGTGGGCGGCTCGGTGGCCAGTGCCAGGGAGGCAAATGTGTCCATGATGAGGTTCACCCAGAGCATCTGCACAGCCTTCAGAGGGGAGTCCTGGGGACAGTGGGAGACAGAGAAGGCTGTCACAGGGGAGCTGGCCTGCCTGCTGCTACAAAGTGCTGGAGGCCTTAGGCTGGCTCTGTCCAGTGGGCTAGGAGCCCAGGCCCTTGGCTGACCTGCCCTTTGGATTCCTGAGCAGGCATGGACTAGGTTAGCTGAGGCCTTCTGGGGGACAACAGCCCAGACCCTCCTACCTTGGCTCTGTCTTCTCTCCTAAGGAGAAAATTGAGTCCTCTGGGTCTGATGGCCACCAGCTTCCTACCCTCCAGTAAATTTAGCCACATGCCCATCATCTTTCCTCCTCCCCTCCAGCCTCTGTGGATGGCTATCTCCTCCTGTCTAAGCCAAGAATCAACCCTCCCCGCAACCTGCCCTCCAGGCTAGGCCTCACCTATCAGCCCCATCTCCTTGGTCTCCCTCTGCTCTTTGTCTGAGGCCTCCTTTCTCCTTCAACTATCAATGGCTCAAGTCTCTATCCTAAAAACAATTCCTGTGACCCTGTCCCCTTCTTACGACCACTCAATTTCTCCTCTCCTCATTCCACCTTACCTTAAAAAAATTATTGTGTATATCAATGATTGAAAAATAAGATGTTTTCAGCCGAAAGTTCTAGCAAGTAAGGAATAGTAGATAAAGATGAAACCTATTGATGATCTCACCACTGAAAGGTTACCACCATCAACATTTTGGAGTGCATCCATCCATATCTCTCTCTTTGGCTGAGATTGGAATTGTACTATTCATATTGTCCTGTATACAATCTTATCACTTGGTCTAAACTGCTGCAATGAACTGAACCTGCATGTTCCCTTCCTTCCTCATATCCCTGCATGCTATGTTCATGGCAGACTGGCTTTGGCTTCTCCACTCCCCCCATCTCACTGCCTCTCCACCCATGTGGCTTCCCCTGTACATTCCACCTCCTTGGTTCCTGGTCCCCACACTCTCCAGGTCCTCCTCCTTCCTCTCTTGAATGTTCCTTCTTCACTTCCTTCAGGAGCTCCTCTTCCCCTGCCTTTAAATCTCTCTAGCCCAGCCCTCTACCTGTGGAGTTAATCTAATTCCTTCTGTGGTCTGTGGAACACCTCCTCCAGGAAGTCTACAGACCCTACAAGCTCAACAGCACAAAGGAGCTACTCTTCTGCCCTCTGTCTTCTGTCTCAGTAGGGGCTCCCTCGGCTCCTCTGCCTGTGCCCCACTTACTCCCTGAGCCCTGCTCATCTTCCTTCTAGAAATTCATCACACTTTGGATCAGCCATGCTTCCCACACCTAACCAAGCTCCCCATCCCCACTCCCCTACCCCAGAGGCTGACAGCCTCACAGTAGCCTCTAGCTCCTCAGCTCTGATATCTTGCTCCCCTGCTCAAAGTATCTCCTAAGGGTCACGTCCACTCCATCTTCCCATCCAAGGCCTGCAAGGCCCTGCCAGGTTCCAGTTACATCAGCCACTAACTTAATCTAAGACACAGGGAAATTGATAATCCTTTTGGAACTTCAGTTTCCTCATCTGCCATCAGTTGGTTTCTAAGGAACTTTGAGTTGCTGCTGCCAAGAGGATGTCCCCTAAACTGCCACTAGAGGGAGCTTCTCGTCCACAGACCAGGAGAGAAAGCCTGTCTTGAGTTGAAATGTGTACTCTCCTGCCCCCAGCCATGCCCAGGGCTCTGACTCTCTAGTCTGTGGTAGGGTAGTGGCCAGGGGTGTCCCAGGGCTCAGAATGCAGCAGAAGGGAGCAGCTTTGAAATGAGCCACATAGCTCTTGGAGGCAGTGCTGGATGCTGGGCCTCCAGAGGCTCCTGTGGGCAGGAGCTTGTTGGCCCAGTTGACTGATAGAGGGCCCAGACCTTGGGGACACATCAGGGCCAAAAGAGCCCACTCTCCCCTCTGCGGCCCAGGCTGGTCATTCCCTGGGGTAGGCAGGCCAATTGGCTAGGGTAGAGGAGGCCACTGAACAATGGCAGGTGCCTGGTCAGTCCATCCCCAGAGCCTCAGTTTCTGCCTCTGTGATGCCTGTATCCAGGGCTTGCCCCTGCTCAGTGCATGGAGCTGCTCGAGTTCCAGGCATGCGGACCTGGGTAGACTCCTGCCTCTCCCATGGAGACAAAGTCTGTCTCTCCCTCCTCCTGCCCCACAGTCTTCTGGTCAACACCTTGCATGTTAGAGCTAAGCACCCAAGACCCTTCTGGCTCCTTGCCCTCAACTGGAGCTACCTAATTCCCCATGGAGCCACCTCATCCCTGCCTCTCTCCACCCCTTTGGGCTGTGGAACTCTACCTTCCCTTCAAAGGTCACCTTTTCTACCTCCTGGAAAGGAGGAGCAGGCACTGTGCCTGAGTCAGGCAGATGTGGGCATGAGGCATCTCTGCATTTGCTGGGTGATGCTAGGCAAGCCACACCACCCCTGAACACATTTCCTTGACTGCAACTGGGGCTGCATTGAGGTCTGAGGTGCACTTGTTGATGGTTGCCCCCATCCCCATTGTTCTGACATGGATCCCCAAGTCCCACACTGCCCCAGTCACTGGTATGCCCACACTTGCCCCTGAGGACGCACCTGTGTGATGCAAGCACCTGTGAAGGCCACAATCACAGCCACCACGTTGACCGTCAGCTGGAACTGCAGGAACTTGGAGATGCTGTCGTAGACGTTGCGGCCCCACATCACGGCCTTGACGATGCTGCTGAAGTTGTCATCGGTCAGGATGATGTCAGAGGCCTCCTTGGCCACATCTGTCCCTGCGATGCCCTATGGGGACAGGGATGGGAGCCTGGGTGGGGTGGCCAAGGGGAGGTGAGCTAGACACCAAGGCCAGCAGCTCTGGGCACACTGCCCTCCTACCCTTACATATTCTCAACCTTATACAGTCCCTCATATACTCATATCCAATCCTTTCATGCAGCCTTAGCATACAAGGACACACACACACACACACACACACATACCTCTGTTCTTTACTCTCTTCATAGGCCCAGCTCCCAATGCCAAGCCTCTGTCTCAGTCTACCCCAAGGTGGTCTCTCCCAGCATTTCCTCCCCTAGGCAGAGGCTATCCCAGTGCACCTCCCTTCTGCCCCCACCTACAAGCCCCTGCCAGATGAAGCCCAGCTTCGTGAACTGCCCCTACCATGGCAAAGCCCACGTCGGCCTTCTTGAGCGCAGGCCCGTCGTTGGTCCCGTCCCCGGTCACAGCCACCACCTGTCGCTGCTCAGTATGGGTGCTGTCGATGATGCCTGTGGGGTGGGGGCATGCTCAGGGCCCTGGGCCACCTCAGGGGTGGAGGGTGAGGCAGCCGGCTAGGCCTGACCCTCAGCAGCCTTGAGCGCAGCTCCCCCATCCTGTCCTAGTTCTCTCTGGCTTGAGGCTTGCCCATGGCTCCCAGCACCCTCAGGGGATGTCTGAGCACTTCAGCCCAGGGCTGGCTGTAGGCTCCCAGTGGCTGGGACCTCTCACCCTTTCAGCACTCTGCTTTGCCCTCACAGCCCTGTGGCTGTGGTCACGGGTGGTCACCCTAATCAGAAACACCTTTCCTCTGTTTCCCAGGGACTCCTTCCCCCCCCCCACGTGGGACCCTCAGGGACCTTCCAGGCCCCATCACCTGCTCCCTGGGGAGTCCAGTCACTCTGAGGAGGCCTTGGCTTGCCATTTTCTGATGACCCACTGATCTAGGCTCTGGCCTTGACCTCTCTCTAGACATTCATCCACAGTAGAATGTTCAATCAACAGAATAAACAGATAGATAGTGGGCCGTCCCAGCCACTGACAGGGGCCAGAGGAAAGGGGTGGGTAGGAGACATTATCACTGGGGAATTGTGGAATTTGTGGGTCTTATAGTTTGGAGCTCCCGAGCAGAGGTGTCCAGGGGGCAGAGCAGAAGTCAGGTGTCAATCTTGACGTGTCCCTCTCTCACCAAGCACATCAAATGCAGCACTGCCCCTGCCCACCCCTCCTCACTGCAGCTCCAGGCTCCCTCTCCAGCCCACACTCTCCCCAGCAGCCCCAGGATCTCTCTAGAACCCCAGTCTGAACCTGCCCCTGCCCCTCCTCACTGAAAGTCATTCTCTCCTTGCTCTAGCTTCAGGATCAAATCCACATCCTTAGCTGGTCTCACAAAATCCTCCGAGATGAGGCCTTACCCATTCTCTAATGTCTTCTTTCCTCTTGCCCTCTGGCCGTCCACAATCTGTGCTCCAGCCACAAGCCACTACTTGCAGTCCTTCAAAGGTCCCTCTTGCCTGCCTCTGCCTCACACAGGCTGTTTCCTCAGCCATGTTTGCTCCTGACACCTGCCTGCAGCTTCTGCTGGGATGTCATTTCTCTGGGAAGTCTTTTGGACCATCAAGGACCCTTGCATGTCCCTCATCACAGCACTGTAATTCTAACAATGTGGCCTCCCAGCTGTGTGTGTCTCCCTATCCTATGCCTGGCACACAGCAGAAGCCTAACAGATGTCTGCGGAATGAGAGGATAAAGTGTCCCCGCTTGGGGCATCGTCTCCTTCTGTCCAACCCTCCCACGCCCCTACTCCCAGCTCTTTGTAACTGTGAATGTTCCACCTTCTTCAAAGCTCAGCTTAAATGCTGTGTCCTTGGCTGCTCCCACCTGGTTGGCGGCTACCTTGAAGTCCCACTGCGCTGGACTCAGCCTCTCCAGTCTCTTTTCACTTGGCATGTGAGGCTTTGTCCCCTCTTCCAAAGTAGGAAGGGTCTAATTCCCCCCCCCCCCATGGCTCTGGTGCCTGCTTTGCACAGCCCCAATGGTGGCAACCTCCACCGTGTTTACTCCTTTACTTCCAGATAACCTCTCTCTAGCCCTGGGGTGGCCCCTGCTCCACTGACATGCCCTTCTTGGGGCTATCTCCTATGGTCACATCTCTGTCTTTGTCTTTCAGCATCCCTCAGCAGGTGTTCACACTGTGGCCCTCATTTCTTTTGTCAAAAGGCTTCCTTGGCTTCAGGACACCACTGGGTCCTCCTGGATTCCCTCCTATTTCTCTGGGCACCTGTTGTTGGTCTTCCTCTGATGGTTCTTGGCCTCCACCAGCCACTTGATGGGGGCAGGGAGCTCCTGGTGCAGCGTGGCTTCTCTTCTCTCCCTACTCAGCACACACCACCATAGCTCAACCCCAGGCCCAGCTGCTCCTGAACTCTGTTCCAATGTCCTTCTGTCATTTGCACATTTGCACGCAGATATCAGGGCCCTCCACCTCAGCCAGTCCTAAACTGAATGCATCAGTTTTCCCTCCTCATGCCCATATCCTGTGACTCCTAGCACCCAGCTGTGCTCTCAAAAATGGGGTAGAACCAGCACATACTGTCAGGAAGGTATAAGATCCTAGACCTTGCATCTCTCTCATCTTCTATTATAGCCCAACAACCACAACCCAGGCAATTCCACTCCAATCTTTCTCCAACCTGCACCCTCACTGACATCACCCTAGGTTGGGTGCTGGATGGTCCCTCAGAGTGAATGTTTTAAACCAATGCTTCTCTCCTTAAACCCTCCCATAGCTGCCTGACCCTAAGGTGACTCCAGGTCACTAGCCTGGCATTCAGAGCCCTGCATATCTGACGCTAGTACCTCCCGGTGCCTCTCCTCTCTCTCCCAGCCCAGCCCCACTGAACTTCTTTCCATTCTCTGAAGGTGCCTGGAACTCTTTTGCCTCTGGCCTTCATATTGCAGTCCCTTGCCCTGCCGGAGACACAGCCTCCCACACCCCCTCCACTCTCCCTTCTGATGGCCTATGACCTGAGACTCTTCTTCCCCAGCTTGGGTCAGGTCAGCAGAGTGCCCCCTGTGCAGTCATGCAGCACTCAACCATTTGCTTCTGCAAAGCAGCTGTGAGCTCTCTGTAGGGAAGCTGCCTATTCAATGTCTGCTGGTTGGAACCCAGACCATGGATTCCAAGGAGGGACCCCATTTGCCTGGAGCAGAGCCTGACACACAGGAGGGCCTCAACAAATATTTACTATTAGAATAAGTTGAGTGAATGAATGAGTGAAGGAGTGAGTGCTTCCTATCAGAGAAATGGGGGATGAGTTGGGGGCCGCAGCCTCCTGCTGGGGTGTCCACAGTTCTGTGTTCTGTGTGTCTGCCTCCATTAATGCCTTCAGGCAACACCTCTAAAAGAGGTATATGAGATGCTCTAGGGATAATCTCAGCTGGAAACTAATTCCTATCCAAGACATTTTACAGATGGGGAAATTGAGTCTAAGAGGGGAAGGAACTTTGTCAAGGCCGTGGAGCAGGTCAGTGGCAGAGCTGGGATTTGAATCCAGGGCTGTGTGACTCCAAAAGTACCTAGCGCTGGACCACCTAGTAGGTGCTCAGGAAGTGGGGTGCCTTCTCTCTGGGGGGAGATGAGGAGAGAGGATTCTGGCTTCTGGTCTCAACTCTCTTGCTATTCCCAGGATAGGCCATTCCCAGGGCTCTGGTCACAGAATATTGGCTGGGGGCCTCAGAGACCAGGCTGACTCACAAACCTCTGGGGCCAGACTGATAACATAAATAAGTGAAGTAGGCTGAGTGTAAGGCAATAAGGAGTGGTGGATACTGTATCAAACATGAGAGAGTAGAGCAGGGTCTGTATAAGATGATTCAAATTCAACATAAAACAAAGGCCCAGTACCAGTCAAATAAAATATGTCTATGAGCCCTGCTTGGCTCCCAGGCCATGAGTTTTGTATGGGCTCAGTCCCAATCCTTCCTACAGGAGGTAGAGGCCCAGAGAGAAGACTTTCCGGGGCTGCAGAGGAGCTAAGACAAGGGTAGCCTAGGTGTAGGGGCAAGGGCCCCTTTTCTCCTGGAAAGAAGCTTCCGGTGCCAGGAGAGGAAGCCCTGTGAGGCCTCAGAGTAGCCCGAGCCCACTCAAGTCTTACCTTTGACCAGGGTATGCTTGTCCGTGGGGGAGGAGCGAGCCAGCACTCGCAGCTTTGGCCAGATCTTGTCGATTCGCTCCTGCTCAATCTGGAGAGGGATTGGGGGGAAGGTGGATTGGTGGGGTCGGGGAGAGAAACTGAGGCCAGAGAAGAGAGGAGACTTGCCCAGAGTCCCTAGGCTCTCAGCGGTACACTGGCTGGCTTCTGTGCAGTCATGCAGCACGCATGCCTTCCAGTCCCCCATCCAAGTTCATCCCTCTGAGCACCCTTTATGCAGGGCCACCTACCTCCCCCTTCTCATTGCGGATCCTCCGGTTGAACTCCTTGCCCTCGAGGCACAGGAAGTCTTCCCCAGGATGGATGATGCCACACTTGATAGCTATGGCCCGGGCTGTGTTGATATTGTCACCGGTGACCATGCGGACTGTGATGCCTGCTCGCTGGCATTTGCGAATGGCTTCTGGGACCTGGACAAGAGGGCAGTAGCCATGGAGGGAGGGCACTCTACTGTAAGCAGACTAGATGACTACTAGATAGTGATGGCAAATGTGGAACATGGGCCATTGCCTCCCTTCCTGTGCCCATGGCAGACATTATTAATCAATCACCTGATTAAACCCTCATGTGGTCTCAGAATTCTCCTTGTGTGGAGTCCCAGACAGTCACCGCCTATTAACCGTTAGTCTACTTAGGGATGAAACCACTGGCTTTCTTGAGTTGGGCAAGGACTTTAAGAAAGACCCCAATAAATACCTCCCGAGACCCTGGCCTCAGGTAAGAGTACACAACAGTCCAGTAGTGCACTTGAATTTGACCCTGCTTCATCCATAGCCATTTTCTACAAACTCAATGATAGATACATTTGTGTTTTCCCAGGTTTTCTGGGGGGACACTGCATTTGAGGACTTTTATTTCAGAATATAACATTGGCTGAGAAAAAATGAAATGATTATGCTTCAGGTAAAATATAACATTTCACTGCAAAAGTAAGGACTGAGTCCTGTTCTCCCAGCTGTAATGATAGATCGATATCTGGGCCATTCAGGCTAGAGCAGATCCAACCAATCAGAATCCAGTAAAGCCTTGCCCCTCCCACAGTGCTCACCCCCATATGAAACTGTGGATCTGTCCAGCAGTTAACCAGTTGCCATCAAGTAGATTTTGTGTGACCCATGTGTCTCAGAGCAGAACTGCACTCCATAGGGTTTTCAGTGGCTGATTTTCTGGAAGTGGATCACCAGGCTTTTCTTCTTGAGGTGCCTCTGGGTGGACTTGAACCACCAACCAGCCAAGAGTGTTAACCAAGGGCACTCTGCTCAGTAATTAGGGTACAGAGACTAGCCTGGAGTTGTTGTGGCCCTTTATACACAACAGATCAACTAGACAAGTGATTCCTACCCATGGGTTGTGAAAATAATAAAATAATAATGCTGTATTTGCTGCAAAACATCTTTGCAAGAGACAATGCGTTAAGGGCAGAAAACTCTATTGTACTGAAAGACCAAAGCATGTCTCAGGTCTGGAAGGACTGAGTCTGACATGCCACTCTGCTTGCCCACTGCACTGACCAGCAGCTCACTCCTACCTGCCCTGCCAAACACTGTTGAATTTGAAGAGTGAGAACACTGGTCCAAAACCTGACTAGGAACAACTCCTGCCCATTAGCCCCCTTTCTGCCTTCAGGCATTGTAAGAACAAAGTTGTTGTTGTTGTTATGTGCTGTCGAGTCAAACCCGACTCACAGCGACCCCTCCTTGGGTTTCCGAGGCAGTATCACTACAGAAGTAGGATTGCCCAACCTTCCTTCCGAGGAGTGGCTGGTGGGTTTGAACCGCCAGCCATCTGGTTAGCAGGCAAGTAGACCTTAAATGTGTGTTGCCTCTGTCCATCCCCTTCCCCCAATCAGTTGTTGCTGCTGTTGTTAGGTGCCATGGAGTTGGGTCCAACTCATAGCGACCCTATGTGCAACAGAACGAAACACTGCCCAGTCTTGTGCCAGCCTCACAATCCTGAGCCTATCATTGCAGCCACTGTGTCAATCCATCTTGTTGAGGGCCTTCCCCTTTTTTGCTGACCCTCCACTTTACCAAGCATGATATCCTTCTCCAGGGAATGGTTCCTTCTGACAATATGACCAAAGGTGGTGAGACAAAGTCTGGCTTCAGCCCTAACCATTCTCATCTCAAACCAGGCCTCTCTGGTCTCCCTGCTTCTGCCCTTGCCTCTCTTCCATCGTCTCCCCTACCCTGGCCTGCCAGAGTCACTCTTCTTCAGGGTCTCCATCTTGCTGCATGCAAAGAAAAAGGCAGACTTCTGAACATGGCCAACCATCATCTGGTGTGACCCCTGAGGGCAGGACCAGGTAGACTGGGGAGTGAAGGTGTGGAGAGGCAGGCTCTAGGCCAAGACAAGGAGAGCAGTTCGTCCAGGTAGCAGAGTTGTCTTAAAGGTAGGCTCTGTGGCCTCAGGTAATGATCTGTCTGTCACTGAAGGGTGAGCAGGGTAAGACTACCATCTCTTACAGCCTGCACCCCAGAGTCTGGGGAAGAGCCTTCCTGGACTCTCATGAGCTAGGCCTTATGCCACAGCCAATGCTCACATAAGCAAACCGTGACCTCTTTTAATGGAGCTGGAGGGAGCGGGGATGGTGACTGTCCAAGATGCTGATTACATAATTTATTGATGTCCTTACAATTGGCTGTAGAGAGGCTGCAGCCCCTAATGTCTCCTGCCCCAAAAGGAGGAATTTAGGTTATGTCTGTTTTAAAACAATTGAGGTCTTGGAGTTGAAAGGGACTCTGGGTCACTGAGTCTAAAGCTCTGCTCCTAGCCTGGATGTCCTCGAGGCATCCCTGGCAGATGGTCGGCCAGCTTCTGATTGCATACTTCTGATGACAGGGTGCTCACTCCCTCCAAGGCCGACTGCTCCATGGTGGAACAAGTGTAGCTTATTCTTTCAGTCGACTTGCTCTTTTTGCAGAGAACAGAGTAGTTACTCTGAGTCAGACCTGTATTCTTGTACTCCAGAGGGCAGATAGACATGGTGTGGTAGTTACATTTGTGTGTCAACTTGGCTGGGCCTGGTTGAGTGGCTGGGCAGCTGGATGTAGTATTCCCCATGACGAGACTGGTAATCAACTCCATGGTGGAATCCACTGTGAGCAGATGAGTAGCTGCCTTAGAGAATGTGATCTGCTTCCTGTATATGAGGAGGAAGCCTTGGGAAGGGTCTCTAGCATATGGCATGCTTGGACCCTGCATGTAGCCATGTTGTTGTTCAGCAGCCTGCCATGCTCTGCCGACCTTGAGACTTATAATGAACTTGAATTAATGGCCTGTAGTAGTTTGGTAACATCAGGACTGTGTCTTTTTACTTATCAACTTTGGGCTATTCAGCCTCAGCAGCCAGCAGCTGTCTGAGTGAAGAAATGCCTCTAGCAGCAGTGGGCTGGGAACAGGAGGCAGAGCTGGGCCCCAAGATTGAGGGGCTTTCACCCAGTCCCTAGAGTCTGGCACTTTGAACTTGGACTTAAAGCCTCCAAACTGTAAGAGAATAAACACCTGTTTGTTAAGGCCATCCCATTTGTGGTATGTTCTTGTCAGAGCGGCCCTAGGTAACCAGAACACATGGGCTTAATTTGTTATAGTATATGGAGGCAAGGGCTCCAGTAAAGGTCTGTACAAAGGATTCTGGGAACACACAGGCGCTGTCATTATTTTAGAAGGAAATGAATAGGGTAGAGAAATCAGTGAGAGTTTCCTGGAGGAGGTGATGTTTGGGCTGGTTACTTTAAGTCAACACTAACCAACCGACACTGTGCCTGGGGCTGGAGAACAGAGCACTGTTCCATGAGGTGCCTGTGTAGAGAAGGTGGGATGGGCAGACCAGACAGGCATGGCCTGTGTAGAGGCCCTGAGGTGTGAATAGGCCAGGAGGGGTGCCGCAGGTGACCTGGAGGGGCTGAAGCTGAGGGAGGATGTGGGGTAGGGACTGGGTGGCTATGAAGCTGGAGAGAGGCCTGAGGTCCAAAGGTGCTAGCACTAGCTCTTTCAGGCACTGGGAACCGTGTGAGTTTGAACTTGAAATTGTGTGAGCAGTGCCATGTTTTAGAAAGACTCCACCTCTAACGCTCTCTCAGGGAGCAGATATGTTCCTGCCTGGAAGTCCTACCCCCCCCCCCCCTTTAGACAAGCAGTTCCCATGAGAAAAAGGAGGCAGCTGCCTTTTATGGCACTTTGTTTGGCCTCTCTTGTGGAGGCTGTGCAGGGAGCGTCCCTGTCTGGGGAGAGACGGCACCAAAGGCTGGTGTGGTCTTTGCTCTGGGGGCAGGCAGACCTGCACTGGAATCTCTTCTCAGCCTTGGTTTCCTCAACTGTAAAATGAGGATGATGTGCCTACCCTTCAGTGAGGCTGGGGGGATTCTGTGACAAGGCACAAACAGCACCAAGCAGAGGGCTGCCACAGCAGATGCTGGAGATGAGGGAGGGAGGAAGGAAGGTTGACAAAATGCCTGACCCTGTTGCCTCGTGGTCTTCCTGCCCTGGGAGGGGTGGGATACAGAGGGAGGGTGTAGATACTGATGTGGGGGGTGGGGGTGAGTGAGTGTCAGAGGCAGGTAGAGGGATGGGGTGGGTGCTCTGTCATGATTCCTGGGTGAGGTGACCTGCCTTGAATGTCGGGGATGGGGGCTTGGAGGCAGATGTGGAAACACTTGAGAAGGCTTTCTGGGGCCACCTTGTGAAATTCCATTTTCCTTCTGGCAGCAGTCCCTCCAGCTGGGCTCCATTGTGGGGCTCCCACCCTGCCCTGCCCTGAGTCCCTGTGCTGAGTGCTGTGGACCTTCCCATCCTCTTTACCAGACATTCCACTGGGCTGTGAGCATTGGCTACAGGGACTGCAGCTGGCTCACAACCACATCGGGGACTGGCATGGGGGTGGGGGTCATGTGGGTGCTTAGTAAATCTTTAGCTCTTGATGCCTGACCTATGGTCATTTATGCAGAGCTGTGTAAATGGATTTGGAGGAGGATACCATTTGGCTCTAAGCTCCCTTTCTAGTCTTTTCTCCCCCTTCCCACCTCCTTGCCTTTGCTGTTCCCTCTGCCTGGAACGTCTTTTCTCCCCTCATCTCTACGTGCCAAAAAATCTTATCCATCTTTCACCTGAAATGGTCTTTATTCATGAAGCCATTCTTGACTCCTCTGACCCAATGGGATAGTTCCTAAAACTGTGATCAGCTCTTTCTTTGTTTCCTCCTTCATCCCTTTGACAAGCAGCTATGGACCACGGCGTAGTGCCTAAGGCATTTGACTGCTAACCAGAAGGCTGGTGGTTCAAACCCACCAGCCATTCCTTGGAAGGAAGATTGGGCAATCTACTTCTGTAGTGATACCACCTTGGAAACCCAAGAAGGGATTGCTGTGAGTCAGATCCGACTCGATGGCAGTGAATTTGGTTTGGATGGACCATCTAAGTGTTCTGAGCATGAAGGAGACCAGAATGACTGAGACTCGCATGCCATCCAGGAAAGGCAGTGATATAGGCTTTTCCTATAAATAAAATATTTGTAAAAATTAAAAAAAAAGAAAAAAAGCTTCTTTTGCTAAAATTATCCTAGATGTTTCTTGCTAAGGAAAAGTAGCCAGGAAATGGGCGCTTCCTATTTTCATTAAATAAAGGCTTCTAAACATCTGTTGTTTCTGGTGACAGCCGTTGTCTGTGACTCCCATGGCTCCAAACACACCCCCGGACAACCCAACAAACCCCCCATCAGTGCTCTCTTGGTGGCTCCACTCGCACGGGCTCCAATCAGCCTTGGGAAATGCTCCCGCAGTGATGTCTGGTGGCGGAGTATTCCCGCAATTAGATTTTTCTCTTTTCTGTCCTGTGGTCTTCTGGAAGGAGAATGTGGAAATTCTCCTCTTGATAGAGAGGAAACCAAGGGAAGCAGGGCTTATTTATAGATTGTTACAACTGCAAAATGAGTCTGAACTTGTATGAAGGACCCCAGAGGTTGTTCAGGCCTGAGGTTTCCTCTCTGGCTGGCCTCAGTTTCCCCGGAGTGTGTTATAGACACTCCGTACATCAGACACTTCCTGGAAACTGAGAGCAGTGCTGCCCCTGAGGTGTAAACTGGACCCGGGGGCCGTGTGGGGGGCTTACTTCACACTGTCTGTACTTTTGAACATTTTGCATTTGGCTTCATGTGCACCAATGATCTATCCTGAAAATCAGATAAAGGAAAACCATACCTGCCAGTCTTTTAGGGCTCTGTGTCCACCCCCACCTTCCTAATACCCAAAAAACAAACCCCACTGCCATTGAGTTGTTTCTGACTCATAGCGACCTCCACTGGGTTTCTGAGGTGGTAAATCTTTACGGAAGTAGATTGCCCAGCCTTCCATGGAGTGGCCAGTGAATCTGAACTGCCAACTTTCTGGTTAGCAGACAAATGCCTTAGGCAGTGTGCGACCAGAGCTCCCACCTCCCTAACGCAAAATGCAACCACTGTCATGGAGTCAGATCTGCCTCATAGCGACCCCTCCTTGTGTTTCCGAGGCAGTATCACTACAGAAGTAGATTGCCCAACCTTCCTTCTGAGGAGTGGCTGGTGGGTTTGAACTGTCAGCCTTCTGGTTAGCAGTCAAATGCCTTAGGCACTACAAGGAGACCCTGAATCAACAGGTCTGAGTTTTTATACTTTTAGGGAGTGCCACTAACTACCCCTCTGTGTACCTTGTGAATGCTGGACAGGCCAACTTCCTCATTTTTCATATGGGGAAACTGAGGCCTGGGGAAGAGATTTGCTGGAAGTCATTGGTGAGTGGGTAGCAGAGGCAGGATTAGAACCTGTGCCCCTTGACTCTGAGTGTTGTTGCTCAAATATAGTTTATACCTTCAAACTATACAACCTGAGGGCAATCCAAAATGAAAGGAAAGCCCACCAACAGGAATGTGCTGACCTAAGGAGGTGAAAAAGGCATGAGGATAAAGCTTCCAGAGAATGTCAGAGCTTGGAAGCGACCTGAGGGGCATCTAGGCCAACCTCCCATTATACAGATGAGAAAACTGAGGTGCAGAGAAGGGGACCAGCTTGCTAGTGGCAAAGTAGGGACATGGATCTAGGTCTCATTTCTTAAATGTAGGGCCCCTCAGGGTAAAGGTTCTCCCAGTCTCTCTGGGAGAGGCAGCCTCCCACTTCCCTGAAGCCCTTTCTTGGGATGATTATGCTATCAACAGAAAATACCAGGTCCTGGGGAATGATGCCTTCTATCCTGTCCCCACCCTTGTAATTTAGAACCACTTCCTCCTTCATTTCTGTGGTAGCTGGGAGAAAGCTCCAGGGCAGGAAGGCAAAAACCTAATTTTAATCTGGATTCACTAGGCTACTTAGTGTTACTTAGGGAACATGATTGCCCTTCTTTGGGCTTCCGTCCTTCCATATGCAAATTCGGAGTGTGGACGATGTTTGGACTAGATCAGCTCTTCAAACCTTGAGTCATGGCCCCTTTTAGTAGATGTTGAAGTCAATTCAGCAGATGGCCACCAGCATTTAAAAAAAGAAAGAAAGAAATAGAAGAGAACAGAAAATATCCAATGGTATTGCATTACTTTGTAATTTCTTGTTCTGGTTGTGTGTGTGTATTTACTAAGTCATGATGTAAAATGTATTTTTAATTGTGGGTTGTAGCCAAAAAAGTTTGTGTCTTATGTTGCTTCTACGCTCCTGGGGGATGCTTCTGAGGCTGGGTGTGAACTGGGAGCTCTGGGTGGGGCCAGAGGGAGGTGTGGGGTTGGAAGGCACAGGGGCACCCCCAGGGTGCTGCGAGTCCTCTGCCACTCCTTCTGAGTGATTTCTAATAAGGAGATAACACAATCCAGTGAAGCCTGAGCCTACTATGCTGGTAATGAGCAGGCATCCTGCAGGGAGGTGATAAAGGTCCTGTCTTTCTGGGGAGATGGGGAGATGCAGTTGGAAGGAATGCGGGCAGGTGGTGAGTGCCCAGCTTAGAGGCAATAATTGTCTTTGCTGCTTTAGGCTCTGGGTGGGAATGAGGAGGCTATGGTGACAACACACAAGAGACCTCTGTGTGTGTATGACACGATGTTGGGAGATTGGGGCTCAAGTCCCATTCATTCTCACTTACTCATTCCCACACACTTTCTGAGCACCTTCTGTATGCTGGGCTCTGTGTTAGGGGCTGTTCTGTGTTAGGGATCCAGAGTTATGAATCTACTGGGGATGAGAATGAAGGAAGGGAACCCACATTAATGGGCCACCAACCTAATGACAGATGCTTTGCTTGTTGCTCATATGTGCGTGATCTGATTCCTCATAATGTCTTGGGTGGAGGGATATTATTATTATCCCTAGTCTACAGATGAGGAAGCTGAGGCTCAGAGAGGTTATGTAACTGGCCAAGATGACACAGTCCACAAAGTCAGGACTCAGGATCCCAGGCCTATCTCATGCTTCCAGCCTCCCCTACCCACTGCCTAAATGGGAAAAGTCCTTGTCTGTGATCCTTTAGTTTCACTTGATCTTTGAAATGTTAGACTCAGGAACTTGGAAAGCATCTTGTCTACCTCCTTTCACTTTAAGGAAGGGGAAACTGAGGCTCTGAGAAGAGCAGGAAAAGCCCAAAGGCCCCCAGATAACTATGGCAGGGTGGGTCAGGGATGCCGAAGTTGCTGAAGGATGGTGGCCTTTGAGGCACCATCACTAAATCTCACAGCCAAGGCCTATCTGGAAACGGTCGGGCCTGGCCAGAGAGCTGGGTGTGGATGCAGTGTCCATGCTAGGCCTCGGAGGAGGTGAAGCTGCTCTACCTGTACCTCATAGCTTCCTTACACTGTCTTCTGGGGCCCTCCGTGTGACTCAAACAGCATTTGGGAGAGTTGAGGCAGCTTCTCTCCAGCCTGGAAAGCCTGTTGACCATATGTGTCCCCTGACTCAGAAGCAGATTCAGCTGAGAGAGACTACAGGCCTACTGTGTGCTGGGCACCTATTAGGTACACTCATACTTACGGCCTCCATCAGTCCTGGCAAGGTGGTGCTGTCACTCCCATCTAACAGAACCCTTTCCCTCCTGTTTGAAAATGTGATCTTCCATTAACTTTCTACCTCTGTTCCGTTGGAAACCTCATAATGGCAAGACTGTCAGCTGTGCTAACAGGCCACCTTGCCAGGGTCAACTGATTGCCAGGGTCAACTGCAGCTGCAATGGGAAAATACTGATGAGGACACACACTTTAGGGTTTCCCTTTGCAGGGACCTTAGAATCTAGGCCTAGGGATCTGTTACAAGAGTTCCTGGCTCCTGGAAGGCGGAGGCTTTTGAGCCAGAACAGCGGCCCGACCTGCCTCTGGCCGGGTAGGAGGGTGCGAGGACTACTCTCCCACAGAGGAGGGACACCTTAGCTGCCCTGTTGGCAGGCTGTGCCTCCTGCCCTGAACAGACCTGGTCAAGTGTGGCCTATGCTAATCTTATGAGTCTGAACCTTTCGTAGCACATAAGGAGACAACCCCAGTGGGGTGCAAGGAAACTGAGGTTCAGAGAGGTGAAGTAACTTATACTAGGCCCTCCAGTCAACTGGACTCCCAGCATTGGGCCCCTTCCCTGAGCCTGCTGGCCCCTGGTACCTACCTCGGGCCGCACGGGGTCCTCGATGCCCACCACGCAGATGCAGGTGAGGTCATTGAGGATGTCGTTCTCATTGTCCCAGTCAGGCTCAGGGCTGCTGGGGAAGTCACGGTAGGCCACACAGATGGTACGGAGGCCATCACAGGCCATGGGCTCAATCACCTTCTTCACCATCTCATCCCGATCACGGGGCCGGAAGACCCGGGGCTCACCTGCCCCATTGAGGATTTTACAGCACCTGTGGGAAGAATGGGAGGAGATAGGTTAGGCCCAGCCAAGGGCCCAGGGACTCCTCCCTCTGACTGGCTTAGAGTTGCCTTCATCTCCCCAGTGATGCCCAGCTGCCCATGGTCCCTCAGCCAGTGCCCATCCCAGACTATTGCCCATAGTGCTTCAAAGCTGGGAGCACACAGGCCAGGGCCCTAGGTGTAGGCAGGGATGAAATCAGAACTAGCCAAAAAGAAACCAGCCAGCCTTCTCTCAAATACATAGGCCAGAGGTTCTAATTCAATTTGTTTGGAGTGAGTCCAGGAATCAGTGGTTTTTTAAAAGCTCCATGGGGTGTTCCAATGTGCATCCAGAGTTGAGAACCACAGAGCTATAACAATCTTCTCAATGAACAAGTGGGAAACTGAGCCCAGAGAAGGGGTGTGACTTGCTTCATTCTCCAGATTTATTTCTGGCATCTGGAGTAAAACGAAACTGGCCACCAATGAAAATAGCTGTCATCAACCAACTTTATCTTAAGGGGAGTGAATAAAAGATCTAAGTGTGATAATAAGCAGAACTTCCTGATGGTCCCATTGATTTAGGGAGGAGGAAGAGGAGTCTGTAGAAATTTAAAAAGAATATAGCAAAGAGCACTAGGCAAGAGGTTCTGGAGGTGAGTCCTGCTGTGTGACTTTGGGCAGGGCCTCTCTCTCTCTCTGCCTCTTGGTGCTAGGTGATCCTCCAGTGCAGGCCTCCTGCTAGGTCTTTTTTTTTTTTTAATTAGGATTTGGGTGAAGATTTACAGAGTAAATTCACTTTTCATACAGCAGTTCACATATACTTTGTCTCATGTCATTGACCAAAATTTACAATGCAGCAGCTCCCCATAGTTACCTCCTCCCAGTGTCCATCCCTTCATACTCTTCTGCACCCTGAGCTATCTCCCTGTGCATAAGAAGCCCTTCCTTCTCCCATGATTGTTCTCTCCAGGGCGTGTGTCTACTTGAGGTAAATGTTTAACTCACATGCCTGTACTTTGTTTGGCTGGAAACCACAGTTGTGGGTTCAATTCCAGACCTGAAGGGCAACTAGGGGCCATAGTCTCAGTGGTTACACCAGGCTCTATTGGACCAGCAAACCTGGTCCCCACCTTCTTCTTCTTCTTTTTTTTTTTTTTGCCTCCAAATGATTGTGAGTTTTGTACCACATTGTTCTCCCTCTTTATGCAGGATCTCCTACATCCCTTCCAAGTGGATGGCAGTGGTAGCTGGGCACCATCTAGTTCTTCTGGTCTCATAGTTGTATAGGTTGCAGATCGGATGGTGTACCAGTCGCTAGGACTGATTGTTTCCATTAATTTTGGTTTTCTTCTTTCTTCTTGATGAGGAGAGACCCGTTGTTGCATCTAGATGGCAGCTTCCTAGCTTTTAAGGTCCCAGTCGCTACTCACCAAAGTAGTAGGTGGAACAATCTCCTGCTAGGTCTTGTGGGACCTGGACATCCTAGCTCCCCACGAAGGGCACGACCCTTAGCTCAGCACCCCGCCTGCTGCCCACCATGCCCACTGACACTTACTTTTTGAGCACGATCTCAGAAGCCCCCTTGCTGTACATGCGGAAGCTCTCATCAGGCAGTTTGATGACTGTGCTCATGGACTTGCGCACAGAGTTGAAGGTGTACACTTTGTACAGCTTCTCCTCTGGCATCTGGGTGCGTACAGGTTCGTAGTCCTGCTTCAGGTCCAGCACGAAGCCCAGCAGGCCACACTCTGTCTTGTTGCCCACCTGCCAAGGCAGGGCACCTTCTTTCTCTGGAGGCTGTAGGAGAAGCAGGGCAGTTCAAATACAGAGCAGGGCTGGCCCGGGGCCCCCTGCCTCCACTGGCCCTGAGCTCCGGAGCTGCTGCCTAGCGTCTGTAGGGAGGGCCTGGACTCCTGGTACCAGTCCCTGACCATTTCCTCTCCTTCCCACTTCAGGTGGGCCCTCTGCCGACCCTTGCACCCTCAGGCCTTTGCATCCCACACCCAACCTTGGCTCAGGAGGGAAAGAGTTGAGCAAGATCAGCTTTTAAAACAGCATGAACTTTTCCAAACATAAAACATTGCAGAGAATAATATAATAAATAGTGGTGTACCCACAATCCAGCTTTATAGAATCTTCACATTATGCCTATTTGCTTAAGATTTTTCTCTTTAAAAAATATAACATTACAGATAATGCTGAAGCTCCCTGTATACCTCTCCCCAACTGCACAATCAACTTCTCTCCCAGAAATAACTTTCATCTCAAATTTGGCACTAATAGTCCCATGTGCATGTGTGTTTTAATTTTTTACTTTGATATCATTGTAGATTCACACATAGCCTTACAAAAGAATACAGAAGGATGCTGTGTACCCTTTACTCAGTTTCCCCTAGTGTCCACAATCTTGCATAACTCTAGAACAATGTCACAACCAGGATCCTGGCTCTTAGACTTGTCATGTGTGTGGATTTGTGGGGCCACTACCACAAGCCAGATAGAGAACAGTTACATCAAGGGTCCCCTGGGCTACACTTTCATAGCCACTGTCACCTCCCCCTTCCCGGCCCCAACAGCCACTAGTTTGTTCTCCACATGAATGTTGTCATGTCAGGCACATTATATAAATGGAACCATGCAGTATGCAGCCTTTTGAGATTGGCTTTTTTCACTCAGCATAATTCCCTGGAGATCCAGGCAAGTTGTCGCATGTGTCAACCATTTGTTCCTGAGTAGTGTTCCATGGTCTGGATGTACTATTCCATGTGGTTTTGATTTAGTTTGAACCAAGCAAAATAGCTATTTTTGTATGTAATAAAAAAGTCAAATATTGGCAGTTTTATGAGGTTAACCCTAATACATGTCTGTATGTACATATAATGTATATATACCCAACCCAACCCAACCCATTGCTGTTGAATCTACTCTCTCCTGGCCACCCCACACCTCACATGTCTAAGTAGAACTCTGTGCACCATAGGGTTTTCCATGGCTGACCTTTCAGATACAGATCACCAGGCCTTTCTTTGGAGGCACCTCAGTGTGGATGTGAACCTCTAAGCTCCTGGTTAGTAGCCAAGGGCTTGCTTAACCGTTTGCACCAGCTGGAGAACTATATATATGCACACATATGTGTATATGTGTAGTGCTGTTTTGCATGTTGAAAACTTCCTATAAGGAGACTGACTGTACATTATCCTGTAACTTGCTTTGCTCATTTAACACTACATTTTTGAGATTCATTCATGTTGATGGTTCTAATTTGTTCATTTTTAACCTCTGTATAAATTCCATTGTGTGGGTAAGTCACAAGTTACCTGTCCACTCTCCTGGCCCTCCCCTCCTCTTCTTCCCTCCTTCTCACCACTCATTCATTAAGTACCTACTGAGTTCCAGCTTTGGAGCTTATGTGGCTCAATGTGTAAGTGCTCAACTCAAAAGGTGGACATTTGAACTCACCCAGCAGTGCTGTGGGAAGAAAGACATGGTGATCTGCTCCTGTAAAGATCACAGCCTAGAAACTCTATGGGGCAGTTCCACTCTGTCACATGGGGTTGTTATGAGTCAAAGCTGACTCAGAGGTACCCAGTAACTACAACAACAACAAAAGGTGTCGGGGGCTGGGCTCCATGAACACCACAAGGTCCTGCCCACCAGACCTTCTCAGTAGAATCACCAACTGCATCTCCTTAGCCCTTCCTCTTCCTGGTGTGGCTGCTGAACACAGACTGTTCCATGCCTCTGTGCTTTGCCCTTGCTGTTCCTTCTCTGCTCCACCCTCTCCTGCCAGGCAAACTCCTCCTTGCTCTTTAAGGGCCAGCCCATGCATCTCTTTCTCTTTGAAAATAGCTTGGTTTCAAAATGTAAGAGTCGAGGTCTCTTCCTTTCCTAGGTTTTCAGGACCAGCAAAGAGGCCGGCATACCATAAACCAAAAACAAACCCACTGCCATCAAGTCGATTCCAACTCATAGTGATCCCCTTTGGGTTTCCGAGGTGCTAAATCTTTACGGAAGTAGATTGCCCAGTCTTCTTTCTGTGGAGTGGCTGGTGGGTTTGAACCACCAACATTCTGGTTAGCAGTCAAATACCTTAGGCACTGCACCACCAGAGCTCCTAATCCCTACATAGGCTGGGATAATTAGCTGATAGGTCAACAAAAGACCAGTGTGGTGGGAAAGACACAGGTGAACAGGTTAAGATAAGGTGCTCCATGTGAGCTCTGATGGTGGGATTGTCAGGCAGCTGGGGGGAGTTCAGATTTGCATGCAAATTCACCTCCCCAATGCCTGCACACTCATGCACACACCCACTCATGCTACTGAAATAAGATTAATATGCAGCAACTCAGGTGGAGGTACATTTGGGAGTGGGAAAAAGCTGCCCCAGATAAATCCAAACTCCAGAGAGATTTTGAAGAGGAGGAGATCCCCATGAACATGTCTGTGTAGCCCTCATTAATGGCTGCTCAGGATTTAGACCAGCCTTGCCCAAGAAGCCCTCTGGATTCTTACCTTCACCTCTGCAGAAGAGTAGCCCAGAAAGGAGGAAGGTGGCTTCAAGAAGATGCCAGCATCACTGGGCTGTGCAGAGGACAGGGCTGACCCTCTATCAGCTCCTGGATGGGTCCCTGACCCATTCCCTGCTTCTACAGCTAGAGCTCAGGCCCAGGGAACAGCCCTTAGCCCTGTGAGGACACAGGCATTGAAACACACCCTTAGCCCTAAGTGGTCCTGAGACCCAAGGACACAGGGAAGGAAAGAGCTTTAGAGCCTAAGCCCATGACCTGTTTCTCCATCTATAAAATGGAGAAGTCAGCACATATGATCTCCAGCACAGAGAGCAATCAAACCTTTTGTTAAAGCACACTGTGGTGAGGGATGGCAGGGAGAGAAAGGGTTTAGGGTTCCTCGGCAGGGTGGGACCCGGGGACCATAGGTGGGGGGCCAGGCTCAGAGCACCCTTCCCCAGCTCCCACACCCAGGCATTCGGCACTTTGTAAGGCTCCCCACTCTCAAGCTCTCAGATGGGATCTGATTGGGAAGCAGAGAACTCTGATATAGCTTCCTGTTTCAGATGCTTGGGAAAAGAAATTCTGTGCACTTCCTTTTGTTTCTGCCATATGCTGTTGTGTTGTGCTCTTAAACTTTATTTATTTATTACAATTTTATAATTAACCTTCTGGAGAGTTTCAGAGGTTCATAAATTTTTCACAACAGGTTTTTTTTTTTTTAATTATTTCTCTCCACTAATGAAAGAAAATGATGACATGGAGGACTTACATAAAGATGCCTAATTACTTATTTGCCCAAGATAACAGAACAATCCTGCCTGCAAAATACCCAGCATTTTATTACTTCTGTGAAATATTTTAATTTTCCTCTAAAAGGATTTCAAATAATCCATGGCTGCAAATGGCAGCGCTGCCTCCTCCGTGATTCAGTTTGTTCCTATGAACTTGAGATCTGAAATCGCCTACATGCAGCACTTAGAAACAGGGACCCTCCTCCTTTCTTCTTTTGGCTTTTTATTCTGACAAACCCAGAGCTTTGCTCTTGCTGTAGACTTTACAAGAGCCTTTTTACTTCCAGGGCTCCAATTCTGTAAGGAAGTGAAGGCGTTGGTGGTCCTATTTTGAGAGAGACGAAACGGGCCCAGGGAAGGAAATGACTTGCTGGAAGCCACAGCCTGGAGAATGCCAGGCTTTGGGGATGCTGGCTGCAGTTATGGGCATAACTTTGAGAGGTCAGTTCATGCTCCTATTGTGGGATGCTGGGGAATGAATGGAGCTAAGATCAATGAACAATGATTTGAAGAGCTACAAGTTATAAATAACATCTGCAAAAATGAAATAAAAAACCCCGTAGCTTCAGGAATTACAATATGTTTCTGAGTCCATTAGAAAATGACTTTACGCTAATTGGCCATCTCTCGCGGCCTACCCAACTCTCACTCATCCTTCAAGGACCGGCACTGGTCATGAAGCCTTCCCTGATGCCCCCAAATGAACCACAAACCCAACCTCAACAGCAGCAGCAATGACTTTTTTGAGTGTCTGCGATGTGCTCAGGGAGCATTGGTGGAGAGGTAGAATTCTCATCTCTATGCAGGAGACCTGGGTTTGATTCCTGGCCAGTGCACTGGAGGCTTAGCCACCACCCGTCTGTCAGTGGAGGCTTACATTTTGCTATGATGCTGAACAGGTTTCAGTGAAGCTTTCAGTCTAAGATGGACTAGGAAGCTTAAAGGTCTGGCAATCTACTTCTGAAAACCAGTCAACTAAAACCCTATGGATCACAACAGTCCAATCCACAACCAATCATGGGGCTTGTGCCTGGGGTTTCCATGAGCTCAGACTCAATGGCAGCTAACCACACCATGTGCTCATCACTTTACTAAGCTCTTCACATGCACCATTTAATTGTATGCCCACAGCTCCCTAGAAGGCAGTGACAACTGTTATTTTCATGTTACAATTATAGAAAGTAAAGCTCAGAGAGGCCAGGTTACACTAGTAAGTGGCTGTGCTAGGGTTTGACCCCAGGTGTTTCTGGCTCTGAGTCCCATAGCACATGCTCTCCCAGCAGCTCCTGCTTCCTCGCTAGCATTTACAACTGTCTGCTCTTGGTTATCTGGTTGGTGATCAGTTTAGAGTCCAAGAAGGCAGGTGGTGTCTGTTTTGCTCATCTCTGTATCCCTAGTTTTAGCATTGGCAGGGGTGAGGTGGGAGGAATCCAACGAATATTTGTGGAATGAATAAATGAATGATTTTTGTGCTTCTATGTGGAGGGGTGTTTTT